AAAAAAAAAAAAAAAAAAAAAAAAAAAAAAATAAAATACTTTTTAACCCTTTCGCTTCGAGCGCCGCCATCTACGAGATGACCTGTGGGTACGAGCGCTGCATAACTAATTAAAAAATAAAATAAATAATAAATAACTAATTTGCGTTTCATTATTAATTATATTAAACATTTTATCGTAAAGTTTTGTAAATATCTAATGCCTATATTACCTATAATTAATAAATAATAATATAAATATAAATATATTACCTAATATTAATATATTACCTACATTACCTAAAATTAATAAATAATAATATAAATAATTAATTAATGTTTAGGAAAACGTATATATAGAAACCACGCGCACTGTGCATATTTCTGGTTCGCGCTTCCGTTCAGGGACGGCGGACTGAACTGCCGAAGCGAAAGGGTTAAAACATTTTCATGTAACTGTCTTGTAATTTACTTGATCATAAATTCATTCTTAAATAAAATGTTCTCAGTATTATATTTTAAGTATAAATAAAGTTACATTAATGTGTTTGATATTAAAAGAAAAACACATGTTTTGTATAGTATATATCTGTAAAACATAACAAATATACTTGTACCATGCAGTCAAAATAAGAATTATAAATTGAAAAAGGCATTATAAACGAGAAGTTTTCATCTTATGTCTTACGGGTTTCATTTAGTGTTTGTTGAATTTTGTCAATTGCATCCTTAAAATTTGTTGCCAGTTCTTCAGTTTTAAATTTGACTGATAAGCTTTCTACATGTGGTTGCTCTTCAGCATAATTCATGCCTGCCCATATCCAAGCACGATGCGACGTAGAAAGTCTATTAAATGCAATGTCTGGAGTAATTAAGAAGTTGCATACTACTTTGTGAACTTGTTCTCGGCGCATTAATAATCTGTAACGGCCATATTTTGCATGATGTAAAATTTTCATATTTCCAACACCTCTTTCTTTCCATTCACGCGTTGTACTATCGTATCTGTATAATTTAGCTCGTTCACAAAATACTGTAACAAACACGACACGATTTCAAGATATATATATATTTTCCTTTTTGAAAGAAATTATTTAATGTACCTTTTTCTTCCTCTTCTTCTCCAGTATGCACTTCCACGATATCAGGTAGAGGTATAATAGGTTCGAAATGAGGATCATAATCATCATTTTCAGTTTGTTCGCATTCTTCTTCTTCATTCTCAACATTCTTTTTTACCGTAGTTTCTGTTTTATGCTCAGATATATCAGCAATTCCATGTGTTTTTTGACCAAATACAGCTGATCCAGCACCGTCAAAAGCAAAATTTGGATCTATAAAACAAATATATGTGTAATAATTTTATCAACACTTTCTTATTTAAATTGTCGTGATAGACGATAGTATGAGAAATATACCTATTTTAAATGTTGGCTGAGAACTTTTAGCTGCTAAAGTTGAAAATGATACATTTGCTGTTGGCAAGAAACTAATATCACTCTCTTTTTGAGCTTCACTTGTTGTTTGTGTTATTGTTTCAAAAGCATTAGTTGTTACAGGGCTTGAAATTGTAAAAACTGATGCAGTTGTTCGTGGACCAAAAACCAAATTCGTCGAAAATGGCGATGCACTAGTAAATACTGAATTAGTAGATTTGGTAGATGCCCCAAACAAGCTTGTTGTAGTATTTGTAGTTATTTTTGACTGTATGTTGAGATTATTTGAAAATATTGATTCAGTATTATTTGTACTAACATTGATAGAACTAGGTTTAAGTAATCCAGAAGAATCTTTTTTCGATATTCCGCCGAAAATATTTTTTCCTGTATTATCTAACTTAGCCATTCCAAATATAGATGTTGTAACTGTTTTAGATGTTGGTGTTATAAATGAAAAAGCGGTAGTTGATGTTACTTGTGCTTGAGAAGTAATAGGACTACAAATTTTTAAATTTTCAGATGTTAAAATATTTTGTTTATCAGTTATAGATTTCTGTATCTCGTTTGAACTGGATGAAGATGGTGACATTACAAATGAAAAACCAGTTTTCTTATCATTCGATATAGTAGAATCAGTATTTCCAAATGATATAATTGATCCACTTATTGTAGGGAGTGAACATGTTGTAAATTGTGGTGTGCCTGTACCATACAGTCCAGGTTTAAAAATAGAAGAAGATGTTATTCCAGTACTTGAAATAGGTGTTTGAACAACTGAGACTTCATTAGACGCGGTGCTTAAATTAATAGATTTTGGCAGAAACTGTATAGCGGATGTTGTTGGAAGCTTTTGATCCTCTGTAGATATTTTTGATGCTGCTGTTATAGAATCTCTATCTGGAAATAACGATGCATCAGATTCTTTACAACCTCTACATCCAGGACAATCTGGTTTTTGCTTATATGCATAAAAGTTTTCTGGAAGCTGTAATTTCAATGCAGCTTGCTTTTCTTCAGCTGTTACTTTCATTTCATACAGAACTTCGATGTCTTGCGCTGTGGAAGTTTCGGTAGATTCTTCTACTTTGATTTCAGTTGTTTTATCAGAGAGTGAAAGCTTCTTCTTCCATTTTTCAATTGTATCTTTGAAATTATTTGCGATATCAGACGTTTTAAAACGACAAGCGAAAAGAGTGTACTCGATTTCTCCTTCACTATAATCAGCAGCATTCCATATCCATGACTTTTCGTCTTTTGGCTTTAATTCCAAATTCGGAAGCACGAAATGGTTTAGACACAGTTTTAATATTTGTTCTCGTCTCATTACTAGTCTCAGTTTGTTTGTATTTTTGTGTCGTAATAATTTAATGTCTCCTAAACCACGTTCTTTCCATTCATTTACCGATTTATCGAACCTAAACAACTTGGCTCTGTGACTATACAAAACTTCTTCATCCTCTTCACCTGTTTTAACTTCAATTTTATCTGGCAATGGAATTATTGGTGAAAAATGTATATCATCACTTTCTACTACCTCCTCCTCACTATTTTCTTCACCACCAGACTTTGTAGGAGATGACTTAGAAACAAAATTGAATTCAAAAGATTTTCCTGGTGTTCCAAAATCAAATTTGGAATCTTTGTTTGTTGGTGTGCCCGGTCTTTGTTGCATTCCAAAAACAAATTTTGCACCTGACGTATCAGATTTTGTGTCAGATTTTGTAGCTAATGGAGATACAGATTTACTATCTGTAGAAACATCATTAGAACTACCTAAATGAAATAAAAAGCCACTTGTTTCTTTTTTAGTAGTATTTTGTGGAATATCAAAAGTAAATGTGGGTGTAACTCCAGAAGAACTTGTGCTTATCTGAAAACCATCAGTTTTTGGTTTAGGTGGAAGGGAAGGATCTTTTGGGGTATCACAAGTGACACAGTAGTTATTTTCAGCTGCATTAAGTATATTACAACATTTACATTCCCATGAAGCTGCAGGTGGTTTAAATACTTGTGAAAAAGGTACTTGATTCCAAGTGGTTGTACTTGAAGTACTCGATTTATCAAATACAGAAGAACATGGTGTCTCACAAGCTATACATTTTGTATTTGATGCATCATTTCTTGTGTAGCAAGCATTGCATTCCCATGAACCAGCAGGTGGTTTAAACATTTGTGAAAGAGGTACTTGATTGGAAGTAATTGTATTTGAAGTACTTGATTTACTAGATACAGGACCACGTGGTGTTTCACAAGCTATACATTTTGCAGTTGGTGCTTCATTTCTTATATAACAAGCACTACATTCCCATGAATCTACTGGTGGTTTAAACATTTCAGATAAAGACTCTTGTGATTTATTTGATTGTACATTTGGAATAGCTTCTGGTTTTTTTAAATTTTCAGCAATAATACAATCTTTTACCATCTTCTGCTGATTACTGGTAATAATATCATGGAATTGAGATGCTTGACTGTATGTTTTAAATGTTGCTGCAAATGTTTCTATTTCATTATCTGTTCCATTTTGTAAATTCCAAGTAACAACTGGATGGTTATCACTTTTGAGTGTAAATTGGGATTTAGCAAGAACATTATAACTATAGCAGATTTTTGAACTGCTTTCATCTATCATTAATAAAAGAATTTTATTCTTCTTCGAACTCCATAAAATCTGCATCTGCCCAGTACCTCTGTGTTCCCATTGTTTCATATTGTTATTAGAATATAAAAGACTGACTTTTTCACTAAACAGTATTTCTTCATATTTAGTTTGCATAGCAAATTTACCAGTACCTTGAACACCTACAATATTAGATGCTGTAGCAAGAGCATTTGGTGCAGGGGCGTGGCGTCTTCTAAATGAAAATTGTGGAGTATTCGGGGAAATATTTTCGCTGGTAACAGCAGTACTAATTGGCTGTGAAGACGAAATTGGCGTGCTATGAATACTAACAGTTGGAACTGTTGTAGGTCCCGATTGTAAAGGTGTAGTTGTTTTCGTAAATGAAAAAGTAAATTGTGATGTAGTTGTTGTTCCAGTGGTTGCACTTTTTTGTGTCATAGTTGGAAAACTTTCAATACTTGTTGCAATCTTATTAAATGTAAAACCAGCAAATGGACTAACTTCTGACTTAACAGGAACTTTTAAAGGTTTAGTAGTAGTTACTTGCTGAATAATTGGTGGTGATGTAAACGAAAATCCACCAATAACTGTTGTTGCTGTATTGATTTTTGACTTTTCTGGTGTAACAGTTTCTGCTATTGTCATTTCAGTAGACTGTTTTTGAACCGTTTGTCCAAAAATAAGTGGTGCTTGTTCTACAGTTTTTGGCTCTAATTTTGTTTTTTCTAATTTTTTAGTACTACTTAATGTAGCACTAATGTTAGATGATACTTTATCAGTACTTTCAACTACTTTTTCAGAAGTAAGACTTGCTTTGGCTTTATCAAAATGCTCTTTAAAGGAAATGCTTTCTTCAACAGTTTTGAATTTAATACAAAACTTCTCTAATTTTAATTCTCCATCAGCATAATCACATGCACCCCATAACCATGCCTTTTCACTATTTGATTTAGCAGTTAACTCCATATCTGGTGTGAGATAATGATTTGCACATACTTTTAATACTTGTTTCCTGCGCATAAGTAAACGAACTTTTCCTTCTTCGTCCTTGAGTAGTTTAACATTGCCTGTACCACGTTCTTTCCATTCATTATTTACATAACGGTAAAGTGTAGCTCCTCCACAAAATAGTGTCTCTTGACCCTCTTCTCCAGTAGTAACTTCAACTTCTGCAGGTAATGGTATAACAGGAACAAAATCTGGCATTGGATCTTGTTCATGATCTGAACTATTTGGAGATTCAGTTGAGCAGGTAGTAGCATCTTGCTTTGGTGTTTCTGATACAGAAAGATTAGGTGAAGTAGTTTTAAGAGTATTTGATAAAGGTGGTAAGTTTACTGTTGTTGGTATAATAGCTTGAGAAGGCATGGAAATTTGATAACAATGAGGAACAGATTGTTCTGTGGTAATTGGTGTAAAAAAACTTCCTTGTCTAAAATGTGGAGGAATTGTTACACTAAGTGTTGGTTGAACAATTGGTACTGTAGTTGGAAGTGTATCAGAAGTAGTAATAGCGACATTAACCGGTGGTACTTTATTCAAAGGAGCATCTTTTATGGTTGTCTCTGGCTTTGATGTTTCTACTTTTTGCAGTGGAATTTGCAGTGATTGATTTGTTGGTGGCATAAATAAACCTTGTTGAAGAATATTTTCAGGCATTTTGGATCTTGTATTAGGATATACTACTGGCATCGGATAAACATTTGGAGGATACAAAGAAGGAATAGCTTGCGCATTTGGATCACTGAATGACATTCCTGTTGGATAATATCCTTGAAAAGTAGCTGAAGGATAAACCAATTGAGAATATGGATGTCTATGAGAAGATTGAAACACATTCCCTGATATCGAAGACGCGGGGCCTGATTGATTTGCATTATAATTTAAGTCATTATAATCATCTTCACTTAAAATGCATAAATCTTCTTCTAGATTGGGATTAATATTAACTGTTTGAGTACGTTGTTTTTGAATTTCTTTACGCAACTCTGCTACTTCTTTTGCTAGTTTCTCAACTTTTTCCATTACTGTCTTGTTTAACTCCAGAATAGTTTTATTTTGCTCTGTTATCGATTGTATCATACCATCCTTTGTTTGAATCATTTGATTTATTGAACGTATTTGAGCATCGAGACGTTCTGGACTTGGACGTGCTTCAGAACGATTTCGTGATAAATCCAATATATCTTGGTGCTGTGGTCTGTAAGGAGTGCTAGATTGTTTTGGTGTACGTTGAACATTTTTCTGCGGCGTATTAAGAATGTTAATTGAAGCGTTTAATCCTGTTAATGTTGGTAACGCTATTTTTGTAACTGCTTGATCCACACCACTATGGGCAGAGGAATAACTTTCATTTGACATTCCATCGCACTCATTTCTACTTAAATCATCTCGTGAAAGATCTGGATCGATCCTTTTCAATTTATTTTCGATGTCAGTGATGTATGTAGAAAGTTCTGAGTTCAAAGGGTGATTTGGATTTGTTCCTGGACTACGTAAACGATCTAGTGTTAAATAAAAACACTCTCTTGCTTTTGAAAGCATGATTATATGTTGCGATCTTATTTCAGATGTTAAACTTTCTTTAGGTATAAAACTGACAATTTCATCTGCAAGCTTTTCATACATTTGACCTTGTTGAAATGAAGCTTCTGGACATTTTAATGCTTGTAACGCGTATATTGCTTTTTCATATTGTTTACCACGTACGAATCGTTGAGCCAAGAGCAATTTACCCTCTTCTAAAGCTTTAATCAATTCTGCATTATTCATATCTTTTCCTTGATAGTTGAAGAATTTGGAATTAGTTATACGAATAACTTGATTATTTTGTAGCCTTTCGAGAAGTGGAATCGCAGCTGACCAGTACATCTCAGACCGTGCTTCTAAGTTTGGTATGTCACTATTTTCTTGATCTATTTCTTTTAATGTCTCTGCTCTATAATGAAATATTCGTGCTAAATGAACTAACAGAACAGGATGCAACCCATGATTTCCAAGACAACGAACTACTTCTAAACCTCTTTGTAGTTCTAATCTTAATTCACCAAGGTCTTCATCGAGTGGTTTTTGTTTATCCATGGAATATACTTTATAGGCATAGGACCACCATTGTTCTTGAGCACAAGTACAAAGCGTATTAGTAAGATCTGCTGGCAATGTAGGTAATTTTTCAGGATTTAAAAGTCCACTCAGTTGTTGTTCTTCAATTGTTGAAGAAGTGTAGATAGCACAATTTAAAAATGCATCAATATCAACACGACTTAAACTATCAGGCGCTGCTTGATGTAAATTATAAACAGAAAACTGCAATTCACAAAACACATGTGATGTTTGATTTGGATAAGGCCCATTATCTTTATTTTGCGAACCATAAGGTCGAGCCCTTAGACCAAGCCAAACTTGGTGATGTAGTGAATCTGGCCACACTTCTTCGGATATTTCATCAAATCGTTTTAGCTCGCTAAACGAGCATAAACGTAATGGCGGATTTGAAATTGAACAATTTACAAAATATGATGTTGTTTTACCATCTTGATACAATCGTCCAATAAAGATTCTTTGATATACTCGATCTCGCCAAGAACTTGTACAAAATTTATCGATTTTATCTAACAATTTCTTAGTATTATCTCGAGCATAATCTTGAAGTACATGACCAGCCTGGCTACATCTATATGATCCTTCTCTATACCACACGTGTATTTCATTCTTAAGACTATCCTTCAAATGCATAGTCCATACTGCAGTAAGATCAATTGGTGTTACATGTAATGCAGTCAATAAAAGTGGTCCACACAATCTTCCTGCTTCAGACCAACTATCTCCTCCAGCTTTAGTCTTTCGTAAAATTAAACATGCTAAATGAAAATGTAACTGGCCCCACATATGTAATAACATATGTTCAATAAAAGCAGGATGATTAGAAAAGTTTTTTGATTTAAATTCAAATAAACTTTGATCAAAACTGCAATATAAATATTTTAATTCAATAATATTAAATATACATATTTCTAATAAAACAAAATTTCTAATAATAATATACATACTTGAATACAGCTTGTGCAGCATCTGTTATACTTTTTTTAATAACTTTACCCTGTTCTTTAAGACATAATGCTGTATATCTTTCTAATACAGAAATATAAAATATCCAAAACGTCCAATCTGATTGTTTACTTTCTTTACACTTCATAAGTAATTCACTTAAAGACTGATACCAAATAATATTATTTCTGTGACTGTGTGTTGCCTCTATTCCAGCAGCTTGATTATATGCATCTTCAAGCCTATGATTTACTATATAATGTTTGAGCAACTTAACTTGTAGATGCACATCTGTTTGTCTAACTGATAATTCAGCTAAAAAAGTAACATTGTTGTAAACAAATAAGTTAAATTACATAAAATCATTATAAGACACATGTTATAAAATATAGATTTTATTACGTACATATAATAAGTTTTTCTAAATCATCATCATTACCATTTGGTTTCTCTAAATTTAACATTTTTTCCTTTAATTCAAAGACTATTGGATGATGTGGAAATTTCTTATCAGCTCTTTCTACCCAATATTTTATTTTATTCATATCTATATTAACATCCATATCAGACAGTAGTTCACATACTAAAAACATAATAAAATATAGAATAAATACAATTTATATGATTTAATTTTGAACTATAAAACAACAAATTCAAAATACCGAACTATACCTTTTAAAATGAGGTCATCTTGCTTTGGTTCTAATTCAAGAGATATTTTATATTGTGTAAAAGCTAATTCTTTTTGTCCCAAAGCTTCAAGAGCTTGACCTAATAATTTATAAGCTCCTGGAGATTTATCTCTTATTTCCAAATAATTAGAAACATACCTTTTTGCAGATTCATAATCTCCAACTTGATAATATAATTTTGCAATATTGTAACACCGAAGCTTTTTCTTAAAATTTAAATAAAGATATTAAATATGTATAAAACATATTACAAACGTACATTTTTACATAAATATAAATTACCAAGTACACATAATAAAATAAAAATAAATAAGAAAAGTATCAATGTAAACAAACATTATTATTATAATTCAAATATTTCGAAAAAGATTCGGATAAAAAAGAAATAATGATTGGAAAAAACATAAAGTCAAAATTTATTCTTTAAAAAATAAATACTTTTTCTAATTATTAATGAAAAGCCGCTAAATCTTAGATAGAGGTTAGTACATGTGCATGTATCTTTTTTACAACCAAATCAAGGCCTTCGATACTATAGACTACACTTGACATTAAATAGAATTATGATGTATTAATATAAACAAGAAAAAAATAAATTTTAAATAAAAGTAAAATTGTACTAAAAAAGTCATCGAATAATTTAAAGTAAGAAGTTAGCAGAGATATTTGATAATATTTAAAAATAACGGCTCTTTCTTTAAAAAATAACCTTACCTCTTCTGAATTTTTAAGTTTGATAAATATGTCTTTCACGTGTCGGTCAACATCCTTTTTCGATCGAAACATTTTCACAAAACGGAACAAGACTTTCTTTAATAATCACTAAAATAATTAATGGACAGTACTCTATTAAAATGAAATTAGAAATACCGTTATACACTTCGCACTACGATTTTCTCCCATACCACAAATCACTTTCAAACGGTTCAATCCAAACCAGAAATATCAGATAAGTGCTGCCCTCTGGTATAATTTTTGAATTGTTTAAAGTAAATATAATCTTTCACGAGAAATATTTCCAGTATAGTATTCCAATTTTTTTCAAAATTCAAGCTCAATGTTTTATATTTAATTTATATATTTAGTTAAGACTATCATATATTAAAAATTAATATTGCATCATTTATTGTAATCAATATGAAGTTATAACCACAATTTAAAGTAGAAGACAGACAGCCAATATAAAAAATTAAACTGTACAAACCCTTAAATATAAGTAATGTTTGTGTATTTCATATCTAAAACAGATTTTAAAAAGTAGTGTCATATGTAATTATTTTTGTTTTTATAAAATATAAATTTAATGATGTTATAATTTTACACGACACGACTATTAATATTACATAAAATGAGTATAAATAAGATATTATACAATTGTAGTATATTTATTTTTAAATTAATACAAATGCTAAAAATGTTATTAAAATTATATATAAAATGTTTTATTCAAATTAAACATAAAAACAATGTAAATATATTACATCATAGTGAAAACTTTTTAGTAGTTTCTAAGCCATATGACATGTGTATTAATAGTAATAATCCAGAAAAAAAGGTATGGAAAGAATGTTTGCAAATTAAAAATATTTATTGATATAATAAACATTACAATTTTTAGGATACCCTGCAATTTGAATTAAAGAAAATTTTACCAAAGTTAGTCAACCCAAATTTGTTTCATGAATTTCATTTTGTACATAGATTAGATTATGTGACAAGTGGTGTGATATGTATTGCATTAAATAAAAAAGCAGCTCGAGCTGCTTCTAATGCATTTGAAGCAAGAACAGTCAAAAAGTTTTATTTGGCATTACTTCATGGGCACATAAATGAACCTTATCTTGTTATAGATAAAGCAATTGGTTAGTAATTAAATCAAAATATTTATAATATCAATTCAGAAGACTATTTATAAATAACATTATTTTATTAGGAACTGATGTAAGAGAAAAAAAAGGAAACCATAAAATGTGTATCAGTGATAGCATGTTTTGTGAAAAACCAAAAAAATCTTATACAATTCTTATAGTATTAGAAAGAGGTTTCAGAAATGGAAAACCAGCTACTAAAGTATTATTATGTCCTGATACAGGTAGAAGACATCAACTAAGAGTACATTGTTCATATATTGGTCATACTGTAATAGGAGATTATACATATAGTGAAAGAAAAGATATAGAACCTTATAGAACATTTTTGCATTCCTTCAGGTATTACTATGCATGTACACATATATACATATGTATGTATATATGTATAAATAAATATAAATAAGGAGATGAAGGAGAAGAAAAATATTAAATATTATATCTACATATAAACTTATCTATATTTATATTTCTTTTTTTTTCAAGGCTGATACTGAATAACAATATTGAAAATTTAGATGTGAGGAGTACAGATCCATTTGTAGCTTCTGACTCAAGAAATCAATGGTCACCTACAAATGTTGCTAAAATATTAGATGAAGATACATTTTTTGATGTTTATAATCTCATTGAATAAAATAGACATTATACTTTTAGTTCAATTTAATTTGTTTAATCTATTGCTTTAATCCCACATCCATGGATTTTAAATGAAATAGTTATTTCTGGTAAATTTGATGATAATTTAACACAAGCATATCTTAAGGAACCAATTCTATAAAACTCTATAGAATTAGTTATCATACTTAACCAGGTTGTTCCTAAAGTTGGTCGTACACTCAAATTATCATTAAGTACATTATTATATATAGCTGTTGTTACCTGTATGTAAATATTCTATGAAATACTTGTACAATTGAATTATTAAATATTATATGAAAAAAATTTATTTCTTTACCTGATTAATACAAACTATACAAATATCACTTTTACATAACTTATGCAATTGTTGTCCAATTGTTCTTAAACTCTTTGCTCTATTACTAAATTCATCTTTCCAATCTTCTACTCTATATGGAGCAGCAATTGAATCTATAACTATTAATCCTATCTTTTGTACAGACATTAATACTGGAATTCTATGAAGTAAACATATTTCCAGTTCTTCCTATAAGAATAAAAGATTAAGTACATATTGTGTTAACAAGCTATTAAATTAATTTAATACAATAATGTGGGATTACAATAGTTGAAATATGTTCCACAAATACTAAATCACCATTTACTCCATATTTTTTTATAATTTCAAGTTGCTGTATCAATTCCTGTAATCTTCTGGATGGAAATATAGATTCAGTACAAATATATATCGCACCTATGTTAAATAAATACACTCAAACAGAAACATTTAGAAAAAATAAAAAAAATAAAAATGTGTTATTATTTAGTTGTGACTGTATAATAAACTTTATTTAATAAATACCAGCAGCAAAACCTCCTTCAGTTTCAGGTAACTGCACTGTCAAACATAATTGTAAAGCTAATTGTGTTTTTCCTGTACTTGAAGCTCCATAAATTTGTGTAATCCCACGAGTAGTTATACCACCCTGAAGTAATGTGTCAAACTTCGTACAACCGGTTGTAAGAAATTTTTCACGTTCCTTTATTATGTTTGCATTAACTAATTTTATGAGATAAAATAAACTATATTAATTCACGGATATTATGACATACAAAATAATAAAACTTTAATACCAAAATAGTTTTCCATTATCTTTTTTAGTCCGAAAATATTTTATATTTTTGGTAGTTTTAGATTAATCATTCAACTGTCCAATACTCAAAAAGACCCTAGTATATCTATATTGTAAGCAGAAGATAGATGGCAGTTTCTAAAACCTTCGAATAAAAAAGAACTAAATATATAAATTTAAAAAAATCATGTACTGTTTACGAGCATATTTAAAGAACACGATATTTTAAATTTTAATAAGTATGAAAAACATTACTTTTCGTTTTAGTTTCTTTAAATTAAAATACAAAATTAAATTTTATTTTTGATAATTATTTTATATTTTAAACATTTTTAAATATATTTTCTATGTGAACATCAGTTATTATTTCTTTTTTAAAAGTTTTTCTTTCCTCTTTTTTATATGTTTTTTTATTTTAATTTTCCTTTTCTCAGCTTGCTGTTCTTTTACTGCCTTTTTTCGTGCCTATAATTAAACATAAATTATTACAAATAATTCATACCATCATATGTAATTATATATTATCCAAGATAAATATGTATTACTTTTCTACTGTCTGGACTCTCATTTCGAGGTCGAGCCGAATTAACAAACTTTGATTCGTTCGATACTATGTCTCCTTCACTATCTTCATCTTCAGAATCAATGATTTTTTCAGATGAGTCATCATCTTCTTCTATATCATTTGTTTGTTTACAATCTTTGTTAAGAATTTCAGGAGTCTCAATAGGCTTGGATAGATCTGATTTTAAACCAATAAGAGTCTTATATATCAAATCCTCTTTCCCAGATTTAGCAAGTTTAATATCACGTTCAATATCAATCACCTTAATATTATATTAATATATGTATATATATATATATATATGTATGTATTGTGAAATTTGATATGCATATACCTGTATATGCATATGTGTAATTATGTATATTTATATGTGTTTTCACAATATTACCTGGCTTAAATTTTGCGGAATATAAGCTTGTTTAAATACTTGTTCTTCTATTTGTTGTTTAGAATCAATATTTTGTTCATCCTGTTGTGTCATTTGCTCTGATATTGTATCTAAATACATATCCATATTCTCTTCAGTTATTGTTGGGTCTGTTATAAAGTCAAATAATGCTTTAACAGTCATAACACCAACTTCATTCTTTTTAAAAAATTCTAAAAAGAGTTAAATAATTCATTAATTCTGAAATCTTTTAAGTATTTTATTAATATTACTCTAAAAAGTTTCTATTCCTATTTACCAGTAATATTTATGCAATCTTTTCTAAGGAACTCAAGTGCCATAGGATGATCATGTTCAACAGCTTGAGATACATCTATTATTATAATAGATCCATCATGATATAACATATTATACTCACTTAAATCCGCATGAACAAGTTTACATTTATTATATAATTTCCACATTGTTTCAATACATTCTCTGTACAATTTTCTTGGTTTAGAAGCAGTAAGAACAATATCTTTTAATTTTGGTGATGGCCAACCATTAGTACCTATGAAATCCATTAATAGTACATGACTGCGTAGTAGAATTGGTTTTGGAGCATTTACTTCTCCTTGTTGAAGACGTACTAAATTTCTAAATTCTTTCTCAGCCCATGTTCGTACCATCTTACGTGGATTGTGACGGCAATATCCATGACGAAAACGAAATTCTCCAGTAACATATTTGTCTCTATCTTTAAATTGCAAAATTGATGTCTTATATATTTTTATTGCAAATTCTATTCCAGTTTTTGATATTGCATGATATACATTAGCTTCTTTTCCAGTGGAGATACATCCATTAATTTCTGCAATTATACCCTGATTTAAAAATTTAAACAATATCATTCTGGTACGTGGATCTAAAACTTGTTCAACAGTAGCACGGTCATGTTTATCTTTTGTTCTAAACCTATCTTTTTCCACTCGTTTATTATTTTCAATAAGAAGATTTGCTGCATATCCTGGTAAAGCAGGACCTTCATATTTTTCAATATTAATTTTATTAGCATAGCGACGAAATAATTTGTCTGAAGGTTGATAATTATTAATCTTATTAGAAGTATTCTGTGCATTGATATTTTGTATTTTAATATTTTTAACAATATTATTTGAACTAATTCTTTGATCTTCATCCCAAATAAAATCATCATCCTCTAAATTATCATTCTCATGTTCACTATCTTTTATTTCATTATTTGAAATATGTAATTTATGTATATCTATAGAAAGCTGACAATGCAATAATGGTTGTTCTTTATCCATTTTTAAGCTGTAATAATATTATAATTAATATTTTACATATATTACAGAAGTATAATTAAATATTATACGTACCTTGTTTCAGTTTCATTAAACTCATTAAATTGATCTTCTTCGACATGTTCACACATGACTAAATTTTATTTTTTTTTATTTACTTTGTTTCAAATACTAAGAAATACATAAAAAAATAGAATGTCGTAGAAAATTACGTTTTCTTAAATTTTGACATAAACTATGTTACATATTACTTACATTAAGCCGCATTTTAAATAATACAATGAACGATTATTCTAAGGTACAAACATTATTTTGATACTCTTGTGATACATTGTTTGATACATTTATACTAATAATTTTAACACTTTAGCAATAATAAATTTTTTAATAATTTTTTATTATTTTTAACCTTCAATCTTTAAACAGAACCAGAACTGCCCTCTATAATCTTCATTATCTATGATTGATGTAAAGATATTTTGTTTACATGTACCACTATTTAAATTGCAAAATTGTGTTACGATGATAAAGAGTAAGATATTAATTATAATTTTTTATTTAAAAATGATTCTATTTTTAATAATAATTGAACAATATTAAATAACAAAGATATGTGTAATAAAATATTGTCAAACATTAAAAATTTTCATAATTTTAGAACTTAAATTATAAATTACAAAAGGAAGAAATTTAATAAAATAATAATAGATAAGAAATTTATTTTACATTAATGTTATATTATATTCTGTTTTATACTAATTTTATATTATATTATATTTTATACTAATTTCATATTACATTTTATTTCATACTTCTTTTTACACTTTATTTTAGTATGAATTTTTATTAGATATATTATAATATTAACATTTGTAAATTATAATTCTATTTAAGATTATTATACATTATAAATGTTTTAAGATTTTTTCAGATTTTATTAGCTACCTTTTTACAAAAATATTTAAGAACATGATTGATGGAACCAAGTATTATATTTCAGTTTTAGAAAAGTCTAAAAATTCAACATTTTTCTAAATATAAAAAATTATAATGGTAGATAAAACTTATTTGAATTAAGTTAATTATTACCATATTTTTAATTATTATAAAAACGTAAGAAATGAGTAAATATTAATTTAAATTCTTATTAATATTATATGAGAAATAATATTGTGTAGCAATTACTTTTTCTGTTTATAGGTAGCAATTAAAAATTTTTAATATTTAAAGATGCAAAATATTAAACAGTTTATAGAACAATGTAATGTTATCCGTTATACATCTTACAGAACTGCAGCAAAAATGCAAATTTTACATAAGGAACTTAATAGTAAGTTTAATATATTTTCATATTATATTACTACTTAGAAATTTTTGTTTTTGTTATATTTATATACAAATAACAATAATATATTTTTTATAGTGCAATATGTTCAACCGGAATTAATTGCTGGAGTTTTTGAACGTCATAGACTTTCAATTACAGAAAACTGTGTAAATTTAGACCCAAGTGAAATTGAAGATGTTCTTTCTGATATTTATTTTGCAGCATGCAAAGAAAACAATACCAATTTTGACATTGATCTTGTAACAAAACTAGCTTTAAATTATATTTTAACTACATTTGACAAGTATGCTATTTTATATATATTAAAATTTTTTAATTAGAATTGAAATAATAAGTAATATATTGTTATCATAAATATTATAATTGTTATAGACAGTGTGCCAGGACTGTGTCTGTATTTTCTGTTAAAGTTGCTTTAATACTAATTAGCTCTGGGAGATTACAAGAAAAGTATGGATATCTTTACCAACAATTAGCTGATCATAATGCATGCTTATCCAAAGCTAGCTTACATACATTATTAACAAATATTTGTAAAATTACGGAGATGCTTGGAGAAAATGCAGCATATGGATCTCAAAATATTCAGTCACATATTGATAAATGTTTCTCGAAGGTATAATTAAATAATATTTTAAATGTTTAAAGTAAATATAAGTTATAACTCTTTATAATAGTCTCAAGGATGTCTTGGAGTTACTGAATCAGAGTTTGCAACATGGATTATGCAAGAACCCCCTTTGCTTGTTTGGATAACAACATTTAATCGTATGAAATCTGCAGAACATAGTATGTATATGTGGCATCCTAAAATATTTAATGTTAAATGTAGAAAAGTTGAAGTGGATATGATAAACTATATACCATTTTTTTTTAGTTGTACATAATGTTAAATGCTCAACTTGTAAAATAACATCAATTCAGGGACCACGATATACATGTCTAAAATGTGCAACATATCATCAATGCCAACATTGTTTTTTATATGGAAAAATATCAGGAAAACATAAATTGAAGCATCCAGTTCGTGAATTTTGCACCAAGGTATGTTAATGTGCATAATTTTTTTCATGTAAAATATTATATATAATTTCTTTTCAGACTTCAAATCGAGAAATAACAAAATTAATTATTGAATTAATAAGAAATAAATTGAAATTATGTCCTGTTAGATCCATTGGGTTAAATATGGATGATCAAATTCCACATATAAGGTTGTTAAGCTAAGGCAACATTAGATAATATGAACATATTTTGTAAATGCTACATGTTTTCCTTTATATATGTATTTTAGCAATGAAATAACACATACTGATTGTGAATCAGCAAGAAGTACAATGAAAAGGCGAGTTCTAAATGATCCACAAAAAGAACTTCAAAGTATTATTACTCATTTAGAAGAAGAGAATAAACAATTACAAATTGAATTGCTTGATATACAGGGTACTAAAGCAGAAAGACTTCAGCGTCATAGAGTTACAATTGAATCACAATTACAACGTCTAAAGTTATTAAAAGTATGTTGTTATTTAATTATTTATATTATTACACGGATCTAATGGAGTAACTTACATATTTGATTAATTTTTTACAGAAATATTTATTTACTGATAGAATTTGTATGCCTCAAGTAATTAATTACATGCAAAGTACACCTATGATTCCTTCCCTTTCATCAAGGCTAACATCCTTACCTATAAATTTTGAATTAAGCCCAATTATTCGGCAAGAAAATACAGAACAAATATCAGGTGTGAATGATACAAATACATTACAGTCAAATAATTATAATCCAACTGGAGATTGTATTACTGAACAAAATCACGAAGTTATCGATTCTGAAGAAGCATCTACAAGTTTAGGATTCACTAATGTACTAGAATCTACTCAAATAGAACTAAGTACATGGATAGGAGGTAAGTTGAATTACTATATTTTATTATTTAAAAAAATGATATATTTATAAAATATTAATCTACAAGATTTATTTATATATATAATATACTTCCAATTGGTATGTATCAAAAAAATATATATACATTTCTAATTATTAGGTACAAAAAGATTAGAAATAAATCCATCTAATAGTGGCTTTTCTCAATGGTTGGGTTCTAACAACTCTAATTGTAAAGACGAAAAATATTCTATTAAAGCTACAGCAACTAGCATTGAAAATGAATCAATAGCAATATCCGATTCTTTGATAGGTATTCACAGAGATAATACACCATCATCTTTACAAAGACCAGATAAACATTCACAACATAGTAGCCTGCAAAATATACAAGGTGATCTAAATGACATATTAGATAGATTACAAAATATGGTTACAGATGATCATTTACTTGATGGTAAGATATAATACTTTAACTTTCTATAAGTTTTTTATATCAATATTCTTACATAATTTTTTTTAGATTCCTCTGTTGTTAATGACAATTGTAAATTAAAACGTGCTACCACAGAAATGGAAGATTTATTAACAGGACTTATTCAAGGTATGGAATCTCGCAAAAGTAAGCTTACTACTATTGTGTAGTAATATTATTTATTATAATTAGTATTTTGGAATTCCACTATAAATATTTACAAAATAAATATTTCCGTCCATTAAACAAATTTCAAATTATATGTAATTGTACGGTATTAATATTAATCTTACTAAAATACATAGTGTAAATGTAATATGTAAAAATAATGTACAATTATGGCAACATTAAAGTAATTTTTTACATATATTCCAAAAAATATGAATATTTAATTTCGAGATATTACACCAAACTACTTTTAGTTTACTTTAAATACGTTTTAAATACCTAGATAAACATAAAATAAACATATATATGAAAAAAGTAGTCAACTAATAAGGAAATGTCTTTATCTATTTTTGTTTTTGCCTTTTTCTATTGTTTACTTAACAAAATAAACATTAAATTTATAGTAAAAAGATACATAAATACGACTCATTATTTTGATGAATGGACTAGATTATTATTTAATGTAATGCTTTATATATCAGTAGTATAAAATATGTTCAGTTAGAACATATAAAGTATGTAAAATATTATTACATATCTTTTTCGACCAATAATGTATCTGTTAAATATGTAACTTTGAATAGTCGTGAGAAATGTGATTTCTCTGATGGTAGATTTACTGTCCATGCCATTACACGAATATCACGATTATACCATTCTTGTATAATGCGTCTAAAATAAATACATAATATATATATACATACATATATATATAAGAAGTGAAACAAATTTTCTTTATAATAATTATTATATATAATTATTTGATTTATGAAATTAATATTTATGTACATACTGATTTAGTATATCTTTATGTAACAATACAGCAGATACACCCACAATGTAATATACAAAACGGTAGAACATCCATTCATAAATATGATCTAATAAACAAGCAGCTATATATTTAAATGGATTGCTATATCTTACTGGAGCTGAGCCATCTAAACCTGAATATAATGTTCTAGAAAAATATTGGGGTCTCCATGCAAGGCTTGCTACAATTCTGGGTTCCTTTCTTCTAATCTGTAATAAGAGAATTATCATTTACCCTATTAAGTGTAACCATATATAAATTCATTTTTACATTGTGCTTTTTAACATTTATGTACCATATATATAACAATGGGATTAAAACTGGATACAACTGCTCTTTGAAATAACTTTGGATATTGCTTATATGCATCTAAAATTACTTGCACTATCTCCATTCTTGATTCTTTTATATCAATGATTATTCTTTGCTCATTTGATAAACATGTTTCTAAAGCTTCATAAAGTAATGGAATTTTTTCACCTTCAATAAATTTATCTCTGTAATATATAAAAGAAGAAAATTGCACTTCTATATCATTTTTGCAATATTTTATAATCAAAAAATATATAATAATCTATCTACTTAAGTGGATGATTATACGTAATATCTAATTGCTTTAATTGATCCCAAGTCATGTCTTTAATAAGTCCAGTTTTTCCAGTAATTCTATCAATTGTTGGATCATGAAATATTATAGGCACGTTATCTTTTGTAAGAGATAAGTCAAATTCAACTGCAGTACAGCCTCTTTCTTTACTCTATAAAATATTTTACAGTTAATTATTATTTCATCTATAACTTATAAAAGATAAACTGAAATGTATTGTTTCACTCAAGCAATTAATTTTTCGTTAGTATCTACTATATTAGTATCCATGTTTACGTTATAAAATAATATGTAATGTTTTTGTTATAAGGTATCTATTATTCCAAACTAGTTAATAAAAAACAAATGAACTTGTTATCTTTTCTGGAACAATTGCCTAATATAAAAACAAAAACCATTATTATATATAAGATTTTACATTACGAAAGGCTGATAAGCTGTTCTCAGGAAAATCATATCCTCCACCACGATGAGCCACCACTCGCATGCAATATTGTTCTCCATTACCATGATCTTTCAACATGGTATTATCTTTTTTCAATGAAAGAGGATTTATACCAAGCACTTCTTGCACAATGCTTAAATTTGGTGGTGGATTCCTGGCTATTTTTAGTCCAACTGAGATAATGACAGAACCCCAAACAATCCATGGTATGCAGAAATTATAAAAAACACTTATTAAAATGCTCCAAATAACTTGTAAAAATATCCACAATAAAGCACTGTTCAAAATTAGTTCAATAATTCCATGCATCCTTTAAAGAAACTTTTAGTTTTGTTAATGTTTTTTGAAAGAGAATATGAGTTATTAACTCTACGCATACAAAGACTTTAACTATAATACTGTTGTATGGCACACTTTATTACTTGATTAATTGAAAATGTAATTTTACACATTCTTGTAGACACTCTGATTTTTTGAATATGTATATCAATGTTCGATAACGTTTGTTTACGCTACAGTATCAGTATTTAACAAACGGATAATTTATTATCTTTGTATTCCTGAAACATGAAACATTTTTTTAATAATAAATTTTAAATATAAAAAAGTATCAAAATTTGGATAAATTAGTAATTGCAATTACATTCTATTATTTCTATAGCACTTTATATAATTACACAAAACGCAAATGACAATTAGTAAATTGCATTTCTAAGTAATGTGAAACCTGTTTAAACAGTAGGTTTTTTTAATTATAGATATTAGTATAATATACAATGTCAATATCAGTTTACCTAAAAAGAAAGCATTTAATGTTAATATTAATTTTTATATAACAAAAGCACATAGACGCGCTATACAATATATAGTCACACATTGGCAGTACTGATGTTAAAGTATACCTTAACCAATTACATAAAATATGAGTATAAAAAATGTTTAAGAAAATACATTTAAAATATTAAAATTAATTTAATACCTTGTAATTTGACATTTATATGTATGATTTTATTTTTTATTATTGGTAAATTCGAAATACTAAAAATGGCAATAAGTAATACTGAATGAAGTGTAAGCAATTCAGTTACTTAATATAGTGTTCTATACTTATTATCTTATGTTATAAAATTATTATATATAAAAAAAAAAAATTGTGTAATGTAAGGAATTATATAAGTAATTGAGTAAGTAAAGAATGTATTAGTAAACATAAATTAAATCAAAGATAAACAATGGGAGATTCATTAGATTTTTTAACAAAATATCATAATATATCTAATAAACTAAAGAAGTAAGCATTTTATTACATATTCTTTTAATAGAATAATTCAGTTCTTATTATAATAAAATTATTTTAAATTATTAATAATTTAATTTTAGACGATTTTTAAGAAAACCAAATGTTGCTGAAGCAAGTGATCAGTTTGGTATGTCATATGAATATGAAATATATGTATAAACTGATATTATTATATACAAATACCCTTAAAAAGTCAAAAGAATATAATATTATTAATTATTTTCTAGGGGCATTGGCAATTGAATGTGAACAAAAAGAATTATGGCAATATGCAGGTTTATGTTTATTAGCTGCAGCCAGATGTCAAGGAACTTTAGAAAATATCTTTTCTGAATTAAATTTGTTAATAAGAGCTGGTCGAGAATTTCTTGTAGCTGATAAAAAAGTTAAAGATATAGGATGTCCTCCTATAGGGCAAGAAAATACTCAGGTTTATTATTTTTATAACACAAATTAATAAGTAGCAACATAATTATATCAGATATTAAAGTTGTAATTGTTTATGTTAGGCTGCAATAAGTTGTTTTGGTCATGCCTTAACACGTTGCCATAATCAATCCGGATTTGGTACCATGTCAGCTGGTTTAGCATTAGAATTAGCCTTAGCTTTAGGCCCTACTCCAGCTGGCACACAACAATTACGTAAAGCCATTGATATTTTTCCAACTACGAAAGCTATTAATACCTTAGTATCTTATCATATTATGCAAGGTAAATATTTATTTAAATTATAATGTGTTATAATAATTAAATACAAAATATGTGATCAGGTGATTATGTATCTGCTTTACAAATTCTGAATGATTTTGTCGAATTTGTTGAGAGTTATATTAATGCTGGTGCAAGGGGTAATTACAGTGTTATATTATACAGGTATTACATATAATTCAAGATATAAAATTGTTTCAACATATCATAAGTTACTTATATTTTAATTACATTAATATGTAGGTGTGAAGTAACTAGAGTGCTCTTATTACTTATACTTCAACCATCACCACAAAGACTAGCACCTTCTCTAGCACAAGTTTTGGAAAAGTATGCATGGGTAGAAGAAAGTACAGATAATGGTAAGTGTTATAATATTTATATTTTTTTAATCATTTAAATAGCCATAGAGTAATAATAGATAAATTACAGATTTTATTATGAGTGAAGATGAATTACTCCTATTACAATCTTTAGTACTAGCATGTCAGTCACATGATTATCAAGCATTGTTGGAACTAGAAGGTGAATTATGGTCTTACTTAAATGCTGAACAAAAAGAATTATTGCATAAGCTAATTCAAGTTTTAACAATACAATGAATTGATAATGTTACATTTTATATGTATAAACGATTAAAAAACTAATTAAATTTATGAAAATTATGACACTTTTTATTTAATTTTATATTTAGGTTTATTTCAGTAACATTCCAAAAAATCTTTTTTTATCCATATTTATTCAATTTGATGAGTTCATAAATTTCAGTGACTAAATTTACTATTACTTAATTACAATTCTATAACAATGAATCAATTCACTAAAAATTGTATGATGATGTAAGCAATATTTGTGACTTTTCATACATAAACATCATTCCCCCATTTTCGTAAAACCGGATAAATGAACATCAGCTGTGTGAAAGGAAGATCTTGCAATAAACAAGGATCTGAGATCATGGTTGCTACGAAAAAAACCACACATCTCACATTCCTGTAATTGTCGACGAATGAAGTTTCCCCTACCTTTTGCCCCTCTACTTCCAAAGCTAACCGAAGCAGATACGACTGTCACGACATGACGTGGCGTCATTTATGTATCATTTATATATTTATATATATATGATCATAATAAAATGGTATAGTTAGTTGGTTATATTATGATTTAACGCAAAATAACATCACATCACAAATGGCATCATATCATCTCATCATGTTGCTAGGTAACTAAGTGACATTGTCACAATTTCTAACAGTTCTTCCTCCCCTACTCAACAGAAGAGGAATCTTTAACTGCCCATCTGTGGTTCCTTTTCGTGGCAACCATGCTGGCAACCTTAGTAACAAGTAAAGACTCGAAGGAGTCAAAATGTATAGTGTGCGTATTTCTTCAGTGATACACGGGATGGTATCGTAGAAAAGATGTTTCGCGTTCCTTGAATATACTAAACTACTTTCCTATACCAGAAGGCAACGTAAGTAGTTAAGGCAGAGTCAGTAGTGATTACGTGGGCGCGTCCTCGAATCTTTCTGTAATAGTTTGACGTATTCAAAACTCATAAGTTTATTTGATTAAGGTAATAAATATTATTCTTTTCCGAATGTGATTGTACACTATCATTTTTTTCTTTTTTAATTTAATAAAAGTTTATATTTTCTATGTTTAAATATACTTAAAAATTTAAACTTTATACAATACTCATATTTTAATCTATAAAACTAGACACAAGTAAATAAATTGTTTAAAACGATGTTTTGTTACATATTTTTTACACAATGCATCAAAGAATAAAAGTTTCAATCATTATTATAAAATAAATATTATAAAAATAAAAAAAATGTTTTGTATTTAACAGGCTCAAATTAAAATTAATGATACATTTAGAATTGTAAATGATATTTTTTTATTTTTATATATTATCATGTTTGTATATATAAAAAATAATAATTAAAAATTGAATGTTTTTTTTACAATATTTCTGTTGCGTAAAGTAAGGGAAAATCTTTTGTACTTAATGTGCTGAAGGTGTCTGTTTCTAGTACCGTTAAATTTACTAGTCGATCTTTGAGTATTTACTATCTTTGTCCAGCGGTTAACAAAATCAATATTTTTAATTTCTTTTCAGGATAAATTGTTTAGTTTTTCCATATTTTCTTAAATATTGTAAATTAAAGATTTATAGTTCAAGTATGTTTGACATAACAAAATAAATAGATTGTTTTTTTTATTTTATATTAATTTCTTTGATATTCATTATGTTTATGTTAATTACATATACTATAATTATACTAATTTACCACGTGTTTTAACGACCTTGAACTCAGTACGATGCAGGTGAATGTCCGAAACACTTGTACCTTAGCTTGCATTACGAATCTTTTAGCAAGATTAAATTAAGAATTTAAGGATAATAGTTTTTAAAGAATTACTGTGAAAAATTTAAAAAGGCGTACATTATAGAATTTTTATAATATTTTTTCGATAACAGTATGACCAAAGATTGGAAAACTATTTTCGTAACCGGAGGAGCTGGTTATATCGGTAGCCACTGTATCGTCGAACTTTTGGAAAGTGGATATGATGTTGTTGCAATAGATAATTTCGCTAATAGCGTAACTGAAAGTAGCGGTGAATCCGCAGCTCTTAAAAGAGTAGAACAAATTACAGGGAAGAAAGTTACTTTTTATAACTGTGATCTCATTAATCGAGATAAACTCGAGACAGTCTTCAACAAGGTACAAAGTATAAATTAAAGGAAAAATAATTATAATTATTTTTGCAATGTCTCCTAAACAATACTGTATCAAATTATAGCACAAAATAGATTGCGTAATTCATTTTGCGGCAATAAAGGCGGTTGGTGAATCAATGCAAGTTCCACTTCATTATTATCGGAATAATATTATTGGTGCCATCAATTTGCTAGAGGTAAAATATAATCTAATAGGTTTTTATGCACACATCGTTTTCTGAAGATTCAATTTTTTTAGGTAATGAAAGCTGCTGGATGTTTCCAATTAGTGTTTAGTAGTTCTTGTACTGTGTATGGTGAGCCTAATGAACTTCCGATTACGGAAGAACATTCGACCGGAAATATTACAAATGTATATGGTAGAACAAAATACTTTATTGAAGAGATGCTTAAGGATATATCCAGAGCTGAAAAGGTACATTTTAAATAATTTGAAAAAATAAAAAAAATTGTTCTATTTAAAAATTTAATAATAAATAAAGCTTTAAATGAAATATTAAAAATTTTATTTTTATTGAATAGAATTGGAATATCATTTCTCTAAGATATTTCAACCCAGTAGGTGCTCATCAAAGTGGCTTGATTGGAGAAGATCCTACAAAGCCATTTACAAATTTAATGCCTTATATAGCTCAAGTAGCTTTAAGATATAAGCCAGAACTCATCATTTTTGGGGGAGATTACCCAACAAAAGATGGTACAGGTATATATAAATTTTTTATTTTTTTTAATATAATGGAAGAATGTATTGTTCAAAGCAAAATGTTTTTAAAATTGATATTCTATTTTAGGTATTCGTGATTACATCCACATCATGGATTTAGCTGCTGGTCATGTAGCAGCTTTAAATGCTTTATACAAACAACATTTAAGGCTAAAAATTTATAATTTAGGTACTGGCAAAGGTGTGTCTGTACTTGAATTAATTAAGACTTTTGAGAATGTCACAGGAACAACAGTACCATATGTTATAAAAGATAGAAGAGAAGGTGATATAATGTCTACATATGCTAATACAGATTTAGCAGAAAAAGAATTAGGATGGAGGACTAAATATAATGTTGAACAAATGTGTAAGTTAAATTACATTTTTACTATATTTTTCCATCAAGTAACATTTCTTAATAATATTTTTTAATATAGGTGAGGATTTTTGGAGGTGGCAAACAATGAATCCACATGGTTACCGTAATTCAATAAAAAATGGTATTAGCGAGCATGTAAATGGAACTTTACAATAATGCTATTTCATTATTATTGAAGTATGACTAATTTATAACAATAAAAGAACAGTATTGAAACGTCTTTTTTAATTTAATACTAATTAATTAATTTATTTACATCCATATTAATGTTGTTCTCAATTTCTTTTCTTTCTTCTATTATAGTATATAATGATAAGTGTTGAAATTTCAACACTTCAAGACCCCAACTTGTCCATCTAGGAAGTAAATATCTTGCAAATATTTCTAAACACTTTGGTTCATTTGGAAGATACTCCTTCATAATTTCTATAAATTGAAGTAATATTTTGATGTACCTTTATAAATTTTTCTCATATAAATTGCAGCTGATATATGATTTTTACCTGTGAGTGGTGGTTTATGAGAATGTACTGCACTTGGTACGCTTATTAACAATTTACCATCAGGAATATTTATTTCATTTCCATTTAATATAGAACCCAAAACTAGCAGTTCATAAGGTTGTTTACCAGGTGCAATATTAAAATTACATATTGTATTTCCTGCTTCAGTAATCTAAAATAAAAGTGTAGCCAAGGATAGTTTATATTGCAAATATAATTTTTAATAATTTGTAAGTTTTATAGTAAAATTATATACTCACTTTAACCCAATACCATTTTGCTCTATATGTAATACCCCAAGATGGAAATATATTGTTAAAAATACTATGTAGATGACTTGGGGCATTTGTGCACCATATTGCTACAAGTCCACTTGAACATAACAATTTGCCAATTGGTATCTTGGCTAACTCTTCATTGTACATCATTTTATAGCTGTTCAACAAAAAAGTATAAAACATAATTTGCACAACATAAAATAATAGTTATAGCAGATTACTATTAAAAATCCAAATATTTCTGCAGATAAGGAATGTAGGAGATTAATGTAATAAAATTAAAATACATCATTATTCAAAGTGTTTTTTTTTTTTTTTTATGATGATAAGTTGCATCTAAAGTCTTATTTACCCATATGCTCACAAAACTGAGAACAAGAAAAATTTATACTATTATCAAAGTACTTGTTCTCATTAAATTATTCAGAGAGCTTTCTTTTTTTATTGGCTTATATTAAACCATACAAGATCACCTAGCTTCTGAATATTTGCTTTTTTTCCTTCTTATGGACTTGTTCCACCAAGGAGGATCCAACAATATAAAATCATATTGGTTGTTTAGCTCCAGTTTTTTTGTAATATCTCTCACATCATAGCAATAAAATTTACATTTTTGGGGGAAAACATATCTTTTCTCCTTTAATTCTGATGTAATAACTACATCTGTATCATTACAACCATAAAAATTTTCGATTTCATTGCTAAATGTATCCTGATAAAATCTTTGTGATGCCAAACGTGCTGCTTCATTATTATCAGATGATATGTTAGTAGGAAATAATCCTTCCATTTTTCCAATTGAAATTATTTTGTTAAACATTTGTTTGATATAATTTATCTACAAAATAAATTATTTTAATAACTATAATTATTATTTGACAATTATAAATGTTAAATTATGTTTTTTATTACACACTTCTTTCAAATCTTCCTCTGGTAAAAGTTTTGATCGTTTTCTTTTTTTAGTTTTACTTTGTAATGAAATTCCTTCCTGTTGCTCAGATTGAATTATTTGATTTTGTCTTAAATATTGTGAATTTATTTCAAATAATGTTTTATTAAAAATTAATTTGCACTCTGTGTTACCATCTTTTACGTCTGTATAAATATTATTTAGATATTTTAAATGGGATATTATCCATCCATTTTCGGTTGAGAAAATTAAACTCATGTTTAATTCAGATGTATTTGCACTACACTACACATTGAACATAATTATATACTTCAATCTACTTGTTATAATTTTCTTACTCTCTTACGTATAGGTATTCAACATATATCGATTATGAAATACTCAAGTTTAGACAAACTTCATAGCATTATCGTTACTATGGTAACATAGAGTTAAGTTTAAAAAAATGGCGACTACACTGAAAAATCGTTAGGTTAGGATATAATTATCTTATACGTTTTTCTGTACATTTTAACATTTTTTAATATTGAACTTAAATTTCAGCAAATGTGTTATTTATTGTAAAATAAAAGGATATCTAAAGAAAAAATAAAGATGAGAATTGCTGTGGAAGGTTGTGCACATGGTGAATTAGATATTATTTACGAAACTATTCAAGAAATGGAAAAAGCTAACGGAAAAAAAATAGATTTACTTATTTGTTGTGGAGATTTTCAGTCAACAAGAAATTTAAGTGATTTAAACTGCATGGCTGTACCTGATAAATATAAGGATATGTGTACATTTTATAAGTGAGTTATTCAATTATATTATTAAAATAAGTGTAGTTGATCAGCTTAAATTACATTTTATTTTTCATGATATTTAAATTTCCTATCAGGAATCTTAGAAATTTTGTTATATATTATAGGTATTATTCTGGAGAAAAAATTGCTCCTGTGTTAACAATATTTATTGGGGGAAATCATGAAGCTTCTAATTATCTTCAAGAGCTACCATATGGTGGATGGGTAGCTCCTAATATTTATTATTTAGGATATGCTAATGTAATAACAGTAGGTGGTATCAGAATTGCAGGATTATCAGGCATTTATAAAAGTCAGCATTGTATGCAGGGACACTATGAAAAACCACCATATACCGAAAATACAATTAGAAGTGTGTACCATATTAGAAATTTAGAAATATTTAGATTAAAGCAGGTAATATGCTCATCTTTTTTATTTTAAGTATAGATCTTTTAAAAGCAAAACAAGAATAATCCTTTGTTATATGATATTGTTATTTATAGCTTACTGGTAATATTGATATTTTCTTATCACATGATTGGCCATCAGGCATAACTAAATATGGAGACGAAAATGTTTTATTGAAAGGAAAACCTTTTTTCAAGTAAGCTAGTTAAAGCTTCTTATGTAAAACATATTAAATTTTAGAAATATGAATATTTGCAGTAATTTCCTCTTTTTATTATAGAAATGATATTGAAAATAATATGCTTGGTAGTCCACCAAGCATGGAACTTTTGGAACATCATTATCCAAGCTATTGGTTTTCTGCACATTTACATTGTAAATTTGCAGCTCTTGTTCCTGAAAAGGGAGGGACAAGAGTAACTAAATTTTTAGCCCTAGATAAATGTCTTCCAAAAAGAAAATTTCTACAAGTACTTGAATTAAAACACAATTCAGATTTACCATTGAAATTACATTATGACTTAGAATGGTTAACAATATTATATTTAACAAATCATTTATTAAGTGTCAAAGGTGGAATTCATTATATGCCTGGACAATATGGTAATACTAGATGGATATTTACACCAACTGTAGAAGAAAAAGCAATAATTTTTAAAAAATTTAATTGTGATTTGCAAATTCCACTAAATTTTACACAAACTGTAAAACCATATAATCCAGGAGCTACAGATATTTCAGTAGAACCACCACAATTGTTAATAAATGATCAAACAACACAATTTTGTAATACTTTAGGTATTGATGATCCATCTATTTTATTGTTATTGATAAGTAATACCAAAGAATTGAAATCAAGTGAATCATTGATGGAAACATGTGAACAAATATCAAGCTCTCACGAAATTTCTGTTTCATTTGATGAAAGTAATGTTTTGAATTCTACATTTAATGGAAGCTTAAATAGTGATTCTTTTAATCAAACATCACCATTGAATTTATCTCCAGAAAGTAATAATGAAGAACAAGAATCAGATATAAGTAGCAGTAAAGATGTTGCAAATGAAAGTTATAATAGCTTATCGTCAACAATAAATTATGATTGTACTGAGGATAGTGAGTAAAATATTACTATCTTATTATAATGTATACATAATTATTTTAACTATACAGTAAAATATACTGTTTATATTTTAGGTAATAATCATTTCATACAAATTGAACCAAATTGTAAAAAATTTAAACGAAGAAATTATTCTATATATTCAAATACACTTTAACTGTTGCAAAATACCATTATTTAGCAATTAAATTTAAAATGTTTTATTTCCAATAAAAATAGTGTTGTATATGAAGAACTTTAATGAACTATATAATCAAAATACTGTACATAAACTTACATATTTTACTATTTTTTGTAAAAAAATCTTTTTTATTAGTATAACAAAATTGTAATGTATGTTAATTATATTAATTCTTTAATCTAATAAATACACATTAATTCATTGCTTGCTTTTTTCTTGAACCTTTTAACCCTATTGAATTTTGATAATACTATATATATTTGCATACATCTATATGTCATAGGTGTTTAGGTTAGAAAACTGCATACTTCCATACAGAAGTGACATCGGTAGTTGAAAATTCAGAACATGTTTAGTTTCGTCCAACTAATACAGAAATAACGTTTATATACCAATAATCTTAATTACTTCTAATAAAATAAAATAAAATAAATTAATTGTTATTAATATAAAATGGACAAATTAACAATTATTTCGGGAACATTGTTTCTTGCTGCCGATGTATTTGCAATTGTCAGTCTTGCAATGCCTGATTGGATTATTACTGATGTTGGTGGTGAATGACTATAAATTACATTGTTTCTTTATTAATGTTTAATAATAATTACATGATTTTAATTATATAATTTAACAATTTTTATTATTTATGTAATTTTGTATCATCTATCATGGTACCATATATTTTTTGTTATTTTGGAAAGCAACTATAGAATACCATAATTATTGTTTTATTCATGTAAAATGTGATGTTTTCTTTTTTTTAGGGGATACAAGGCTAGGATTAATGTGGTCATGTATGACATTGTACAATAGACCTCAAATATGTTACAGTCCAGATTTACAACTAGAATGGTTTATGGCTCTTGTTTGTATTTTTGTTGGTTGCATTTTAATAACAGCCACTATAATATTATTAGCTAGTTCTCATTGGGATCGTAATGTTATTCCATATGCAAGATGGGTGGGGTTTATAGCTAGTAAGTGCATTCAATTATGTTAATTATTTTTTATAAATAAAATTTTTAATATACTATAAAGTGCAAAACTATATTTCAGTGGTATTGTTTTGCTTAGCAGCTGTTATATTTCCAATGGGTTTCCACATTGATGAAATTGGTGGACAACCATATCAATTACCAAATTCACATCAAGTTGGTATTTCTTATATACTTTTTGTTTTAGCGTTGTGGATTACAGTAATTTCAGAATTATTTGCTGGTAAAGTTTGTCTTCCGCATTTCTAGTATTTACTTTTTACCTGTATTCCTGGTATTTGTTCACTAGCAGTAATAGTGTTCTACATTGTTTGTTACATAGTATTATAATACTAATATAGTATTAAAGGATTTTTTGTACTTTTTATTAAAATATTGTATATTGTAATGTAATATTTAATTGTAATTTTTGCATGAACATTAAATGTTCTCATAGTATCACGATAAAGAAGTAATTATAACAATATAAGAAATTAAGTGTAAATATTTGAAATAATAAATATTTTTTAACAAATAATAATCAAGTTTTGATAACATATATACATATTTTTATTAATTTTTATAAATCTTATATATATATATTCACATTTTCGCAGGAAGTTATTTTACTAAGAGTACTTATCTACATTATCTAGAAAATACAATGTAAATAAGATGTTTTGCAATGGGATTTGAAAACTTTGCTGCTTCATAAAATTGTACGGGTATTAGTATATTTAAAGTAGAAACAATTAAAAAAAAGTTAATGACAAAAAATGTAAAAAACAGGAAAGTTACAAAATTCTACATATATTAGCCCAAAGCAAAACAAAACATTTAACACAGAGTTTATATAAAATCAACTTAGTAAACATTAATTTTCATATTTTTCAATAATAATTACCTTAAAATAACTTAAGCATTTTAATAATAAAGAAGAAAATACAATGAATCATTTTTAAATTTAAGTTTACAATCATTAAATTTGTTACAAAAAATAGAAAATATATCCTTATATGTGTTAACATGTATAAAATGGAAATACACAAATATGTTCTTCTTTTTCTTTTTTTCAATGTTTTTTTCTTTTTTTTTTCTTTTCTTTTCTTTTTTTCTTTTTAAAGAACTGTAATTAAAGTAAGTTTGACACATACAAGATAGTTTTGTACACAAATTTTGTTTATACAATCTTCCTCACTGATAACATTAGTATTCCACCTTCCAATTATTTCTTTGCTTTAAAACCTATATTTTCAATTTTTTGGAATACTTATTTTACTTATATGTTACAAAGATCTATTAAGAATGTATTATAAAGAATATTATGAAATATTTGTGTATTTTGGATAATTTGTCAATTACCTTATTTGTAACCAATATAGTTATTAATCTAGGATATATATTAAAGTAAATAAATAATTGGTAGATTGGAATATTATAAAGGCGCAGGAAGGTTATATACAAAAATAACTTAAGGCATAAAATGTATCTTTTCTCAGATATATATATATATAAAATTTGCATTTCATAGAAATTTTGTCATTAAAGTAGAAAAACTTTTCTCTATTTTTGCCTTTTTCCTACGAGATTATTATGTATACCTTTTCCTTATACATTGTATATTCATAATTATAATAAGAAAGATATGTACAAGAGATCTTGACATTTAATATTTTGATAAAATGTAATGTGTAAGCGTTTATTTAACTTTAATAGAACTATGAATGCCAAAATCAAAACTCTTCTTTAACTTCAACTTCAACTGTTATTTATTTTGCATTCCAAGAAAACTATGCATAAAACTCGTAACAACAATCTCAGTATAAATGTTTCATGGAAGTATAGCATATTAAAAGGAAATACTTTTCTATTTTTCATGATATTGGTTAATAAACATTCTCTGTACTTAGATACAAATATCAACAAGAACCATAAACTATTCTCAGAATATAGATTCATTTATATTCATAATTAATGCTTTTTGTTTTAACGTGTTTTAGCACTATTTGACTGATTATTCCCAATAGTGTCACACCGTCGATAATATAATAAATATGGAACTCTTGGGGGAGTTGGTTTTAATACATTACTTTCAGAAACACCTTTCAATGAACTGTCATCATATCTGACCCAACCACCATATCCAACATGAAAAGCATCTGTAACATAATGGCCTTTCGTTGCTTCTTTACCATCATGATAAGTAACTGCAAATAATTTGTAATGCTTTTGTTTTGGATTTAGTTTTTTTACAGTATTCGGTGATAGAAATTCTGTAATAAACGAGTTTGATATTTTAATTGATTTAATATGTTGTAAATTTGAGAATAAATAAATAAGAATTAATAAGATATCTACTAACTGCTATCCAATTTTAAATCAATTGGAAATTCTACACTTTTCACAATTTTTGAGCAAACATCCAGTTTGTAGTCAAACCATTTTAGATGTAATATGAGAATGACAGGTAATTCTTCTAATGTAACTTGTTTCCAAGCTTCTATTTGTTGTTTCGTTTTACTACATGTCATTCCTTCTAACTGATCTTTTCCGACAAGAATTTCGAGTGCACCTTTCACGGATTCTGCTTTCTGAAAATAATATATTTTTTTAATATATTACTCTGTGGTAATTTTGTACTAACTTTTTATCAGATTAGTACTTCGATATCAAGTTGTAATGTAAAGAAAGGCTGGACATTATCTGTTGGTTGTTCTCCTGCTCGTGATACTCTAGATCTCAATTGTCCACGAAATATATCAGACAATGGAGTTCTTCCAAATTCGGTACATCTTGTGATAGATCCTTTATTTTTTGGACCCATAACCTACAATCCGAGTTTTTATATTAATATTTATCTTTAATAACCAATTGTTGTATTATATATTTTACCTTCCATTCTTCTTCTCCATTGTTATAATTTACATTACTTTCAATATTATTTGTTACGTTTTGGTCATTATTTACTAATTTGATAAGCTAAAATAAATAAGTATATCATTTATAATGTGCTATTAAACTTTAAATTAAAACGAATATTATCATGATCGTACTTCAAGCATTTCGTCATTGATACCGTTCAGAAGGCACGAGAGGAATTCTTCTGCATCTTCTTGTCGCCCTTCCACAGAAAAGACACCAGCTGCTGACGTATTTTTTAACATTGTATATACATAAAAAGGTTCAAAGGCCACCCCACTTTGTATGTCTACTACTGTATCTTCCCCTCGTTTATTTGCTCTATCTTTTCTAGCCAATCTTGCACCATCTGATAAAGGTGTAAATTCGTGTACAAATTTAATCCTGCATAAAAAAAGATTAAACATCTATTAGAAACATCATTAAAATAATATATGTATCAAGATTAGAAATTGTAAATATTCTTTATTTTACTTACATATTATCAATAAGTGGAGTGGAAGACATTTTACTAGGATTTTTAGAATGTGGTAGAGCCATTAAAAGATTGTAAAAAGGTGGACAAGCAAGTAAAGCTTGTAATATACTATTAATATAGCAATAATTACTACGATTTGTTAGTCCTCTAGGTAATAAACTTACAGTTTGTTTGTCCATCTGATAATTTAATAAAAATTCTAAAAGACAAATATTTATATTTCATTAGAAATATAATAGATATATTTAGGTAAATATTTTTATCCATTAATTTCATTATAATACCTACCACCCATTCGGAAGGCAATGGGATCATTATAATGGTTTTGTAATGAATCTGCTTGTGAATTTTTACTTTCACTTATAATGCTTGGCAAGTTGGATGAAATATTTTCGTTTGTAAATACAGTTGTACTGTTAAGTTGATCTTTCTCTGTTGACTGTGATGTAATTTTTGATGTTACATTATTTTCTGTGATTGGGAGAGGATTAATGCGCGCAGTTGGTTTATAATTTGATGAACTAGATTGTGTATCGGCACTTCCTTTTTTCAAAATACTAGCCCAAGATATACTAGATAAAGCTGGTGATGATGTAGTGGGTACAATTATTGGAGTGCTTGTTACAGAGGAGTTTGGTGTTTTAATGACAACTTCATCTTGTACATTTTTTCTGGAACTATCTTCTTTGTATGCTTCACTTTCATTTTTAGAAACTGGTTTTGATAATGTTTTAACAACAGTGGTTTTAATACTAGAAACAGTTTCATTTTTATATTCTTTATCAGTTTCTCCATTTTGTTTTACTTCAATGCTACTATTAATATTTACGCATGGTACATCATTTTTTTCAGCTCCATTACACTTTTCATTTACAGTAGATACAATGTTATGTTCTATTTTAACATTAACAGGGGGTACTTTTCCATTTGTATTTGAATTTTTTCTGTTAACAGTATTTTCATCAACATTATCAGTACATTGCTCTACTTTACTGTTATTTACAGTTATTACTGTAGTGACTATATTGGTCTGTGAGGAATTATCCTCTTCATTTACTTGATGAAAAGGTTGTTTGACTGGTGTATAAGTATTCTGTATTCGTTTCTCATGAGACTTAGTAGTTTGTACTTTTGTACATTCTTGAGTAGGCTGAGAAAGCATAGGTGTTACTTGCCGCACACATCTTATATTTCCTGAAGGGTGATGATATGGAGGATATCCATACGTAGGTTGTGCATGAGGATGTGTACTTGTATGTGTATGAATATTTGGCTGATATATAGCTAGTGGAGGATAATGAACATGGCCGGAGAATTGTTGTTGTTGTGTTTGATCTGGATACATTACAACAAAAGATAATTGTGGATGAAATTGTCCTTGTTCTCCCATATATCCTGGTTGCATTTCACCTCCAGGATTTATTCCATGATTAAAATTATCTCTTCTTATTCCTTTTCCTCGATTATTTCTTCTATTAGTTTCCCTGTTACAGCTAACATCATGGATTTCACCTCCAATGTTATATCCAGGATGGGAATAAGTCATTGCAGGCATGAATGGTTGTATGTGAGTATCTGTTGGGACAGGATAAATTGGTGGTCTCTGCCAGTCATTACACATTATTTGTTGCGTATATGAGGGTGGTGGTGGTATTGCTATATAAAAGATAAAGTTCAGATATATTTTTAAATAAATATATTAAATCGCGCGTTAAAACGTTTATCTGTATTTAAAATAATTACCATTATGATACCATTGATTATGGATTTGTGGAATTTCTGTTATAGAAATATTAACATCACTGTTAGTTTCAGCTGTATCCCATGGTAATTTTAAGGTATCATTAACAATATTGGATTTTAAAATGCCTATTAAATGATTCCTATCATTGTCATTTAAATCATGTAAATCTAAGAATTGAAAATCAAGCTAAAACAAAATAAAATATTAGTTGAAATTTAGTATTTCAGTAGAAGCATGTAAAATTTACAAATAATTTTAGGTCAATCAATTCATTAGTGTTAGATCGTAACTATTTTTTTCTTTTTTCAGTTAAACAATTGCTTAATGTACATCATCATAGCTTGTAAAAAATTATTATGAAAGAATTTATCATAAAAGTATATTATAGACATAGAAATTAAAAAAATAAGATAACTTATACAATAACATAATATCGTTTAATAAATATATTTTTTTACAATTACTCGAAATTGTGACTTATGTAAATAATATATTTCATTAATTATATTTGTTTATTGATCAGTAAAGTTTCAATTTTAACTTGCAACCATAAGTCTAACCTCACATTTCATAACAATTACAAAATTAGTTAGAATAATGATAATTTAACATATTGTAATTAATACAAATTTTTATCAATATATCGTACCTCATTTTGAACATCCATGGTTAAATCCATACACCGTATAAAACATTAAAAATAATACCAGCAGAGAAACATGAGGCTCCGGTGGTTTGTGTCGGCAATAAAAAGAATCAACGTTGATATTATTAATTTTGTCTTTTATTTGAGTAGAAATTACATAAAAAGTATACTCAATTATAAAAACACAATATTTGTATTAGTTCTGTGCAACAATAAAATGGGGAAGGAGATTACAAACTATTAACAAATTACACAATATGAATGATCATATTTCGGCAGTTGTATAGTTAAAATGGGCCAAGCACGTTGCTTTACTTCTGTTTCTGCTGTTCACAAGACTAGCGTCGCCACTATCATCACTAGTGTTTTGTAGGGACATCTATCGAAACTGACTTTAGGATATTTAGGTACGTTGGAAATATGCATTCATTAATGAATTTTAGGTTTATTTAAATTTGATTTGCTTCTGTAGGAGTAAAAACTATATATTGCAACTGTAAAATTTTATTAAAAAATGTTTTAATTTTGTAACTTTTGTTTTTTAAAAAGCTTATGTAAGATACAAACCTATCATGTTGAAAGATATAATTTTTTTTTTCAAGCATGAATAGTTTGAAGGTCTAAAAAGAAAATTAATGAAATATGCGATTATGTCGAGAAATCTAGTTTAATCATTTTTTTAAAGAATAATACATTCCTTCGTAGTTAAAGAAAAGATCAATACTTTCATAGGATCATATCCTCTTATTTCTTTAAATTTATAGATAAGATATAGAATATCACTTTTGAATTTTGTATCTTCTGTTATAAAATATTAATTACACTGTCCAATAAATTTTAACATTTCCTTAAATCGGTAATATCCATTGCGCAATTCTTGTAGAGAAACTTATTTCTTCATAAATAATATTGTTATAAACGAATGAAATATATGTTACCCTTAAGTGAGTTTTTTATTTGAAACCCCGAAATGTTTCACGTTGTCATTAACAGATGGCAGTAGCTACGAATTTTTACTCACTTTCTTTTTTCACTATAGATTTTCAAAAATCCATAAATGTACATATAAAGAACTTAATCAAACTAAAATAACAATTAAAGCATAATTAATACTCACTACCACCCATTTTAACTTATTTGATACTTTGTATAGAATAATAATTTTTGACAAATTTTTAACTATTAGAGCTATGACGGGAAGTACATAACGTGAAAATTACTGGTAGCGACATTTAGTGAATTTTGCCCAAAGGTTTTATACAAGTCGTTCGTCAGTATGCAACGAAAGCTCTTACTGTGATTACACTTACAGAATAAGTTCCTTTTATTATAAACTGAGAATCATTTATTCTTCACGTCAAATAGTTCGTAGGGAGAATAAGACTGTACATATGTGTGCTACCATCTAGTAATGAACTGTTCAACTATAACTGCATTTTACCAGCGTATAATATATAGAAATAATACTTTCTGTCTATTATATTTAAAGAGAAATGAGAAAAAAATTACATATAGTTTTAATTTTAATCACTACCAATAATGATGTTTTATTCTATGCTGAATCGGTAACGTTGGGATTGATAATAATAAGATATAGGTGTGCAGAATTTCTCAAACGTAGATCAAAATGATGAATTAGGTGATAATGTTTTTTCAATATTTCATTTAATATAAAACTGCCATAATGAAACTTATGCAGCTGGATAACTTCTCTAATCTTTTAACACGTTTAGCATATATATTGACTCTTGCAATATTTGATTGTTTCCATATAAAGAAAGAGATATTTCTTTACTTTATGATAATTAGATAAATAATATAGTTGCTGATAGTAGGAAAGGTTTATTGTTTAAAAAAAATAAAGAAGAGAAACGGAAAAGAATAAGAAGAAATGACGAAAGACAGTAACACTTCCTTACCGACCGATTGTAGTATTACGGCAGGCAAACAATGTAGTTCGACAAATATCCTTGTGGTTGCTGTAGTTTCAAATGGCGCTATTTTTGAATCAAATGCATTCAAATAGATTTCGATATTTCAACTTTTTTTAACGTTACGTAATTCATGATTTGATATCAATGTTTCCAAAATTGATCATTTATTTCTTCTTTCGTATTTTCGTTTGACAAATATCTCGTTTAGAGATTTTACATCGTTCCATTTCTTTTATACACTATTTATATGATATTCGACTTATTAATTCGAGGTTTTTAGATATTCTTCTGTCATTGTATACAAGAAAATCGGTTAGGTTCTTTAGGTTTTCCTGGTGTAAGTTGTTTAGTAGCATGAGTGGTCATATTTTCTTTTACGAGCTACGTGTGCGAAACATTTTTATGCATCATTTGTACTATTTATATTGTTCATCACTGGGACTATACGAGTTAATCATAATTTATAACCTGTCCCCAGACGGTGCAAGTAAGAAATAGCAACATTTCTTTAATGCCAGATTATATCACCGATTCATGGCGCGCACCGAAGTTCGCGTTATGAAATAACATGCTCGCAAAAGAATGGTTTACTATAAAAATAATATATAAAGCGGGCCGTGAAATTATTCGCTCAGTCGATAATGAGGCAAAGATGAATGGAATGATCGGAGAACGAGAGATTTTTCAAAGCATCATTATTTCCATGCATTTACGCTTTTTCGCGGCAAAAAATTATTCGCTCCTTTCATATTAATTAGTATTTAGCAGCATACCCCTACTCTGTTGTAACTTCCGTGTGTCCTTTTGACGATACCACTATCGTTTTTGCGTAATTTTGTGACTCAAGAATGCGTAAAGACTCGTTAAAACTCGTTCCTCCGCAATTACGACCAAAAGCTTTTTCATTTCGTTTTTCCGTTACGATTTGTCACGTCGAACCATAAAAAGCATGCATGTCCGAACCGAAAAGCTTAAAAAAATCTATCGTTGAGCGATTATTTCGTTCATGGGTTTGGCGAATAGTTTTGTAACTGGTAAGTGTAATTTTTACATCGACTATCATATCGATCCCTCGACTGTACTGATCATTTGCTTCTCCCTTTTCGGGTTTAATATACCTCCGAAGGTAAACTATATCAAGCAGCCGGGTGTACGTTATTGTTCTCTATCTACGGTGATACAAGCGGTGAAAGGAAGTTGCCAGTTTTACGGGTGAAACGCGTTTAAGGCTGCGTTGAATGACAAATAAATATGCTAATGGCTATTCGGGAAACTTCAAATGCCGCGCATCTTAGCTTTTGCACCGCATCGAAAGAAGAAAGTTAAGTTAAGTTGCCTGGTACCTCCGCGGCGTGCTCGAGTGCCACGAATGGCCAAGGGAGGAACGCAGAACGAGGAGAGACAGGATCGAGGGATCGGGCATGGAAGATGGAACGAGAGTTCTCTTAAATAATAGAAAATTCAGAGGAAGTTGATAAGCCAGGACGCGTTCAAACTTTTCACTCGCCGTCTTCCATTTCTTATTATAATGAATGCATATCGGCTTAGCGGAAGTTGGAAAGCTACGACGACTATAAGAACCCTTTTTCAGTTTTTGCGACCTCTGCTCCCTGCCTCGCGTTCTAATACCGTCGATTTAAGCACGCGCGTAGACCGTAAATCGAATAACGTTTCTTCTTCTCGTAGTTTTCTTTCTTTTTTCCTTCAAGATTCACCGGAAAGCGCGAAACATCGTGTCTCGAAATTAATTTTTCCGTCACGGGGTTAGGGTAATCCTCGACGGGTTTAATTCGAGATGTCAGCGACAGATTGCGTTCGTCGAACCACATGTTGCCAGTCGACATACCACCGAGTCGTGTGCACGCATACGACGAATAAACCGTCGAATATTTCGGCTATTATTATTACCGTACCTAGCGTGTCTTTCCGTGCGACGGCTGCACGTCCGCCGACCAGAACGCTCCGCCATTTTCATTCGGGATCGATCGTGCGATTTTCCGCGAAACTGTCGCGAAGATATTTTCTTTTCGTCTATGTCGTCGGTAAATAACAGGAAAATTGCGTTTCCCGTTAACGGGAGGGTTAACGAGAAATTTCCAAGTCGAATATTCACGAACGCGCGACGAGAGTTGACTTATAAATTTGCCGGGATGACGAGTGAC